CAAGCAATATCCTTCCACAGGAAACTATCTTTTCTTACTGGAATGATTATGAGTTCCAACAGCTCTAACATTCTTCCAAAGAATTAGTGGAGCTAATGACACCAGGTAAATCAAAAGATAAAGAGCAGAGAAAAAACAGCTTATCAGTGCTTCAGCTTAGATATTAAGTGGTCAAAATCTACTCCTATGAGTGTTAAGTTACAGCTATAGAAGAAATCCACCCTAGCAAGCAGCATGAGATGTTAGTATCATTAAGATAACTTCAACTTGCAATATCCAACTGGAGGGATTATTTAAAACAGTGTGCTGTAAGGCCACAAAACCTACAAATTATGAATGCTCTGCCTGATTGTTTTCAGGTCAGACTAATTAAGTTTTTTCTAGGATTAGAAAATAAGTTATGATGTTAGTGATACACAAAAAGTACTTCTAAGTACCACCAACTGTGAGTCCACATTTTGGCATTTAAAGGAGCGAAGGACACTATCATTAAATTATGTAATTGGTCCAGTCTCATGAAATCAGTATTAAAAAAAAACCTATTTGTTTCTACCTGCTGTAGAAGACATAATGGCAAAACCAGGCTCTCCTGTAAGTCACATAGCTACATTATAGGTAGGATTGCTTTAAAAGCAGAAACAAAGGCCTAACTTATATGAAGCAAAATCATTAGTCTATTGGACTTGAAGAAACACTAATATCAAAAGTCCACTATCATTTCCCAGAGATGAATTTATATTGGCCACTACTATGAATATAAGTATATATGAATACTTAATATATTTATAGTTTTCAGAAGATAATGCATTTGGGTAATGCTGTTCACCATGATTATGGCTATCAGCTTTCACAACATCTTTTCTCTGAACCTAAAGAGAAAGCAGAACAGACTTTTTAACCAAGCATCAGTTAATTACTGAGAGTTAGAAAACTTGTCTTAGTGACTTTAAATGAAATACAAATATTTGATTTTCCAAATTCCCATGAGAATCTTGTATATATGATGCTTCCAAAAATCTTAGATGCAGGTAATAAATGGGATGCTATAAATGGGCAGAATATTCCAATTTAAACTAAGATGCATGAATACAATTCAAAACCAAACAAGTACAAGGGATTCCTGAATAGTAATTTGTTGGTTCCTATTAAAATGCATATATACTATACATTCCCTCTCTATACATATAGCCTATATAGATACCTTATGTAAGATACTGCCACATATATCCTGTCCTGGTAGAAAACTTAAAATGAGTGTGTACACATATACACAGATGGTACCTCTCACTAATTTCTTTGAAAAGTATCCTCTAGTGAAGGGCTCATAGATGACACCAACTAGACACTAGGAAAACGCCTTTCTGCAATTTAAGCGCTCTGACTACCAAAAAGGCTGAGAAATACAGTCCTGGCACTTCAAGAGATTAACTTAGGATGGTATCTGTATGATTAAGACTCTCAGACAGGAACTTTAGCATGAGCAGAAGAACAGATCAGGCTTTTTAAAGGTCTGTTTTCACACCATCTGGATATTAACTTCTGTGAATTTAGAAAGTAACTTAAAGCAGATGAAAGTCTAACACCTACTTATACTGATTTACCTTAAAGGAATGTTTACTATGTGCACTGAATTGATACTGGATACAATAGGGCAATATAACACAATAAAATAGCATAATATAATAAATGTAACTAACTTCTAAAGAAAACTTACTACTATTAACTTAAACACTAGGAGCCTATGATTTTTCAGGCAACTTAACCTGATCAAATCCAGAACTGCCAATCAAACTGTCTTTTGTTTTTTCTTTCACCAAAAGAAAAAAAAAAAGAGAAGAATATTTTGCAATCTAGCTGGTCACACTTCAAAGCTGAAAACAGCCTCCAACGTTAATACTGTGCTTCTTCAGCGGCTGTCAGAACCCTGGCAGTCCATTCAGTAATTCTAAATAATTCATGAAAGGCAATTAAAAGACATCAGAAAAAAAGTCTATCATCAGCAACCTTGAAATTCTCTTTACAAGGGCCATCACCTGATCCTGAAGTACTGCAAGGGCCTGTAAGTTGAAAAAGGATGGAAAACCACACTCGCCAAGAGCAAAAAGAAAACAGCCTAAAAGTGGCCTCACTGAAGAGGCTGAAAAGGGCTAGTAATGAAAAGTCCTACACAACCATAAACCTTTGGCATCAGTAGTCTGCAGTTACACAGCTCCTCTGATCACAACAGACTTGCCACAGCAGTTGAAACACTGAAGAGTATTTCTAAACATTACTTAGTGAATACAAATGTATGAACTGTCAGAGCTAAGAAAGCTTTAGGAAACTTAAACAGCTTCAAAGGAAATAAGCTTGTCAATTTGGCTATGTTATTAAAAAAACAAGCAAGACCCTTGTAGCTGGTTGGGAAGAAGGGGAGTAAATCACAAGTTTTCAGTACCCTTAAAGACATCTGGATACAAAACTAGTTATCACTAGACACAGCATTTTTTAATGCAAAAAATTTAATCAGGTAAGCTTCATAGTACTGACAGGATATTTTAAGAGTTGCGTTTGAGTTTTTATTTTAATATTTGATAGTCTGTCCAGAAGGAGAGTTACATAACTAAACCAAATACTTCTCTACAGGAAATCATAGCATGTAACCAATCTAACCTATTTTTTTTATTAGAAGCCCAAAGCATACAAAGCCTTACTTATCTGACAATCCCATTTGATCATGTATCTGCCAAAACTCAGTCACACACCAACTCCAAGGATCTTAAACAAAGGCAAATACAGTTTTGCCAAATCTGATACTGGGGTGTTGGGTTTTGTAGACAAACAAAAACCCCACCGCACATGTAAAATTAAACCACCACCCCACTTACATTACTTAGGCAAATTCTTTAAATGTTGACAGTTTTGTTCTAGTTTCCAGCTTAGATTCCAAAATTTGAGAAGGTATTGAACAGCTTTTCTTGCAGCGTTTCATCCAAGGAAGTGTAACCTACCACACCTTAGCTTTCAAAACAGTTTCTTGCCAAGCATGCTCAGATGCAGGAACACAAGTACAGTTAGTATCTATGCATAATCCTCCTCCTCAAACTAGATGGAAACAAAATGAGTGCTGCTGACTACATGCACTAGGAGACTTCTTTTTTTTTTTTAAATAGGATTTGTTTTTTCCCTAGGAATACTAGTCGTTTCTAATTTTCATGAGTGCGAGGTTCAACATGTTTACTAGTGTAACTCTATGTCATTCTGACTACTACAACTTTAAAAATAGGATTTAAACAAAATAAATCAATTTCATCAGTTAACACTGTCATTTCCCATACAGAAATAAATCTCAAAGTGAAAAATCATATCCAACTGGAAAAAACTGTTATGACACACAAAGCACACTGAAATGCAAGATTTGCCAGCTGTCTTGCTCAGATATCTTCCTCTACAGACTATGGCTTATACAGACATGTCTGCAGACAAACATGAAGTGAGAAGAGGTTTGAAGATGGGTGAGGAAATGCATATGGGGGAGAAGAACACATTTATTATTGTAGCTTTGAGGCTTCCCCAGTCATCTCTAAGGGACAGCATTTTATTCACCAACAAGGAATCAAAACTCCACTATGAAGTTTAAAGAACTTTTAATCATCTACAAGTGCCATGAGAGACATTATGTTTTTACAGTCACCAAGTTTTATGATAGAGCAACTTCAGACATATTTCCCTGTCTTTTTAATAAAAACCAAATCTCTTATCTTCCACACTAGCATGAGAACCACCATCTAGACTACAAATTACACGAACATAAACTAGATGCTCTTATAATAGGACACTGACAGAAATTTCTAGGATGAGAAAACACCCCACCTGGCATTCTGAACTGATTGTGACGCTTTTGCTCAAATTTACAAACAGGTAACACCACACTACAATAAAATCTAAAGTAGTTTCTAGCAAAAACAGCACAAGTTTTGAGTTTGCACATTTCATAACCTCTCAAGTGCAGTACTCTAAATAGAAATATTTCTTGACCTAATTAGCTCTCAGAGACACTTTAACTGCAATTCTTTCTCACACTATTTTTTTCCCAATCTCAAGAACCTGTTCCAGGGTCTCTGTTCACGTCAGTTCCCCAATTCTCTCATGTTTATCCTCCATGATGTTTTTTTCCACACTACCCCTAAATCAAATGTGGAGTGTTAATACCCTTTTAGAAAAAGGAAGAGTAGCTAAAGATTTGCCTGAAAGCTACAGCCTTGTCAAACACTAGCAGTGTTATAACTATGTCATTATGTTCTACTTTGCTTGATAAATTCTAGATAAGCATCCTTAAAAACACTACTTGTGCCAGTATACTTAGAGATAGAAAAGTCAAACACCTAAGAGAAGTAAGAAGATCCAATACAGGAATGCTGCCACGTAAAGCAAGCCAAGAGAACACAACTATTTAATTCAATCCCAGATGGAACAGGAGAGGAGAATGCCCATTAAAAGCAACGTGAGCTTGGCCCTATAAACTACTCACGAGGCACACAAGTCAATTTTCCTGTGCACGGGCTTCCTTCCGTACAGAAACTTAGGAAAATATTAAATAACTATGAAGGTCACACCTAAAATACAGTCTCTGTAATGTCAGAAGCCACGCTGCGTACACGAGTCCAAACCCAACAAAATACAGGAGAAGCGAGCGATTCCGCAACGGGCAGGGTGGAGCAGAAGGCGGGACGATGACCTAATAGGTCTTTTCTATCTTTAGTTTCCTGAGGCTCGGTGGACAAGAGGCGCCTGGATCAGGCTCTGCTTGTCCCCCAGCACCCGGGCACATTCCCCCGGTCGGGAGGACACAGCACCTACCGGCCTAACGAAGTTCTCCAGCCACCTGATGCTTACAACAGGTATCCCAAGGTGACAGCGCTTGCAGACAGGCAAGCTTTAGACAAGACTCAGAAGCGATACGCTGGTCATATTTTAGCAACGAGCCATACAAGCGGTTCGAGTTTCCTTCTTGCCCTTACCTTGAACACTTTACCGAAAGCACCATCTCCCAGCTCTCCTATAATCTCCCAGAACTCCTCAGGGTTCAAATCCCTCTTGACGTGCTCGTATTGTTTCTTCTTTTTCTCACCACCCAGCTTGAAGATCTTCCGAAAGTTGAAGAAAGACATCTTTGCTCCTGCCGAGGGAGGCCAGGCGCGGGCAGCAAGGGGCGGGCGGCTTCTGGGGGTGCCCCCTCAGCCCGCCGTCACCATCCGGGGCGGGCAGCGGGGGTCCTACGGGCGCGATCCCCGCGAGGGCCGAGGGCCGTCCTCACGCCGCCTGGGAACCCGTCGCCGCCGGGCGCTGAGAGGAAACAACCCCTCGGATCTCCCCGAAGGGGCCGGGTCGTCGACGGCAGCCGCAGCGGAGCTCTCCCACGGCGGTCTCAGCGGTCCCTTGCCTGCTCGGCCGGGCCGGTGACCATCGCGTCAGCAACAAGTGCCGGGCTCTCTCATCGGGACGGAGCCTGAGAAGAAGCGCGGCGAAGAGATCGCGGCTGGAAAGGGGCAGCGGGGCGCGGCGGACGCGGGAGCGGTCACCCAGCAGCCCGCCGAGGGCGCTCCCGCTTCAGAGGACGGGGCGGATGTAGGGTAGAGGAGGGGAGGGGAGGGGGCTGCCCCGCTCCGGAGTCCGGGCCGGTGTCCTACCGGAGCGTGGGCTGCGGGCCGGCAGAGCGGAGGGAGGCGGCTGTTCCCCGACGGTCGTCTCTGGGCTTGTCTCCCGGTCCCTGCCCGCCCTCTCGCAGAGCGCGGCCCGGGCGGCACCGTTTCCTGCGGGGCGGGGCCGGGCCGCACCTCCCTCCCCCGCCTCTCCTCCCCCCGCCGCTGCCGAGCGCGTGCGCGCGCCCCGTGCCCCCGCCTCTCTTCCCGCGCTCCCGGAACCGCCTCGCACCCCGGCTACCACCGCCGCCGACTGCCGCCACGACAGCGCACGCGCACCTCCTCCTCCGGCGCATGCGCGCGCGCCCTGGCGACAGCCGCGGTCTTCGCCCCCCTCCGCAAACGTTTAAGTCTCCGGCAAAGGTGGTGGGGGAAGAGGTGGGGCTCTGCGCTGCTCACGTGACGCGGCGTGAGCCAATAGGAGCGCGCTGAGGCCTCTGGCGGGTAAGTTGGTGCCTGGCTCCAAGATGGAGGAGGGTGGGCGCCTTCCGTCAGAGCTGGGCGGCACTACCCAGGGGTGCTGAGCTCTTGTTCGTTTGTGTTGCTTCTAGTTTTCTTTGGGAATAGGCTGCGTGTGCGTAGTTGGGTGCGGGGCGGGAGAGGAAAGTGACTCCTTCGTTCCCTTGTAACCATGGTGGGAGAAGCCCTTTATCCTCTGCTGAGTTGTTGATTCCCGAAGGACAGCCTGCCCTCTCTTATTTGTTCGTAGCTGTCCCTTGTAGGTCTCCTGTGGTAGAGGATAATGTTTCATAGGTAAGGGGACAGTTTCTTTTCTAGACTAGCAGAGTAGCTCAAGTTCCTCTTTTCAGCGCAAGCAGGGTGCCTCTTCCCCCACATTGCTTCCTTAAGGCCATGCTTGATGTGGTTCTGCGTAACCTGATCTAGTTGAAGATGTTGCTGCTTATTGCAGGGGGTTGGACTAGATGATCTTTGAAGATCCTTCCCATTCCAAACTATTCTGTGATTCCAAGTCTGAATGTGGGATTTGAAAGGGGAGCTAGCCAGGAGTGTTTTATTGGTGGGTGGTCTCTCCTGGAGGGTTTGATCTTGGGAATATTTATTTGAAGAAGATGTTAGTAGAATAAGACAATGTTGGAAGGCTTTATTTTGTTTGTGGGTTAGTGCTGTTCCTAGCTCTCCTACTTTGTCACAGCATTCAGTCCTAGCAGGGTGTGATGTTCATGTGCTGCCCATGTTTAGTATCTTGTGAGATTTAATCAGTGGGACAGGATTGAATTTCCTTATCTCACAACCTTTTCACAAGTGATTCTTTCATCAGCCTGAAGTATGATTGTATTTTAATAGTTGTGTTGTTTATATGCTACCGAATGTGTGGCATTTCTTCACATGAAAGCAAGAGTTGTTCCTTGTTGCCTGGATAAGGCACAACTAGTAGACATCTTAAAGACAAAGTTTAAGTTGTGATGGGAGGCAGGAAGTTGATCTTGCAGTTGTGGCAATGATGTGAGACCTAAGAGAGATCTGGCAATGAGACAGACATCCCGTGAAAGTCATGTAATGCTTTATCCTCGTATGAACCTGAATGCCTGCAGTTGCCGTTAATTTAAACTGCATTATAAGCTTCTAAAGGTCAAGCCTCTGGTGTTTATCATTCCTCAGTCCATTTTATTAGCTTGATAGTAGTTTGCTGAGTAGGGTAGTCCATGTGTAAGCTTAGTAATAATAGTGAGGTATTGAGATGCACCAGTTATGGGGATCATATGGCAACATCGACAGTCTCCTTGAAAGAAGCATGACTTGAAGGAACAGAAAGTCCTGGCCTGAGTTAATAAAGGGATTTCAGCAAAGGAGTAGTCTAATAGTACAGGTGTTTATAGTAATGAAGATTAGAAAGGCAGTTCAGAGGGAACTAAGAGCATAGCAGCACCCAGGAACTGAACTTTGCATTGTGTGTTAATGTTTTAGTCGAAGCATGCTGGGGTAGAAGCCTTTTAAGACTATTTTGGTGTTGTATATTGAGTAATTAGTGGTGCTAGTAATATTAGTAGTGTACAGGAACATGGTGTGCTAGGCACTGTACTGCCATAGAACAAGGAGGTGGCCCCTGACACAAGAAGTTTATGAATCAACAGTGTTGTGTCATGAGTTAATTTCTTTAATCTATGTAAAGTTAGTTTCAAGGGTACTATCCCTTCATTAATAGAGAGCGTTTCAAGTACTCTTGCTAACCTGATAGCAGTACTGATTTCTGTAATATCAGCATTTGTTTTTCAGAAATGATCTTGGGCTTAGTGGTTCCTTTGTACTGACAGCTTGGCCACAAAATGCAAGACTGTTGAGTGTTAAAGCCAAGACCGTTTGTGTGTAACAGGAATACCAAGAAACAACTGCAGTCCAAATGAGCTGGTTTTCATTCTCCTCTATGATCTGGCTGGCTGGTTGCACCTATTAATTTCTAAGTTTCATGCAGATAGTTTGAATTAATAACAAAGAAAGTGATTGATAAGGTTTCTCCAGCACCAGCTTTGATATGGAAATTAAAATACAATTGTGGTTTTAATAATGATTTTAATTTTGCTTTTAAATTGAATATTTTGATTTTAACTTGCTTTCTGTTGGTTAAAAAATGCTTTGTGACTAATTTTTATCTGTTTGTTTGGAATGACTAACTAATAGAGGATGGTCAAAAAAGGAATCCAAAGCCATAGCATGAAATCCTTGTATCTAGGCAGGATTAGTTTTTCTTTAGCCACAGGATTAATGTCATAGGGCAGCAAGTGTGTGTGTGTGTATACCAGAGTTTGTAATAATAACTGGAAATAAATGCAAATCTAGAAGAAAATTCCTTGGTCTATGTGTGAACAAATGTAGTTGAGCTTGCAGTCTTAATAAGGTTGGCAGTTATGGGATACCAGGGCCCAGTTCTTTCTCAGCTCTATTGATAAATGAACTTTTGACTGTAAGTGGTTAACATACAGTATCGTTATAATGTATCAATTTGCTTTGAGTATGTGTGGTAAAACAGGTTCACTCAGAGCAGAACAGGAACAGTAGTGTCATCCTACCAAAGAATAAATGTTAGTAGGTACTTACAGATGTGTTACTTTAAACTTTTATAGTCTTCCTGTTCTAGAGAGCTGTTAATTCATATAATGTTGAAAAGATAAGATGAAAGGCACAAGAAAGGAGCAATTAATCTAGTGATAAAGGTTTGCTTTTAACTTTTATTAACAGGTAATTTAAGATAAAAAACTTATAACTGAAAACAGTGGCTCAGTCTCAATTTTTCCCTTATTCCTTCACTCTAGAGTGACAGCTTGCCACTGAACCCTAAAAATAAACTCTGTAAGGTGAAGGTTAAGTGCTAGTAGCAAATCCTTCCCAATTTGCATTGATTTCCTGGTATGGAGGAGTCTGTATGATTCCTGGTTGTTTGTGTGTGTGGTGGGTTTATTGTGTGAGAAGGTTGTTTAGGTTTTTGTTTTTCCCTGGTTGCCTGAGTTCTTAGCAACTGTAAATGTTTCCAGATGGTAAGGATTAAAAGGTAAAAGTGAGTAATAAGTATATGAAAATTTCTTCTTCAGGAATTTAATGCAGTGCTGCTTGAAAATTCAACACTTCCTTAAAATGTCAGAGTAAAGATGTTAAAGAACTCTATTGGTTGTGCACCAAATACACTGGCTTAAAATAGCTGCAACTCTTCTCTGCAGTCTTTTTCATCTCTTTGAGATTTAGAAGTCTCCTTTACACTTGCTGCTGCATCCTTTCCCATTGACTTAATCGCTTACACTTGCTACTGTTCCTGACTCCCTCTGTAAGTTCTGTTTCATTTAAACTGCTCTGCTTCAGTTTCTCTTCATTGAAAATAAACACTTCCTTCAGAGATTTATTTTGAAATGTCTTTACAGCATATATTCCTCTTTCACTGCAGTCCTACATCCTGTCTTCAGTTCTATCAATATTTAATGGTATATCTTTATATTGTCTTGACTTCCTGTCTACCCACGCTTTCACTGATCTCCTCCAGTCTTCTTTCTGATGTTTTGAGTTCATTGCACTGCTCTAAGGTCACAGGTGGCTTGTTAGTGGTTAAATCTGAAGTATAATTCTTGTTTCATCTGTCTTAATCTGTCTGTCACCTTTGGCACTCAGCACTGTCCCTTCTGTTTTCTTGATGTATGTGGTGTTTTGACTGGTATTTTCCAATCATATGGTGGTGTTTTTCCATAGATTCTAGCATTTCTACTCAGTTCTGTTCCCAAAATTTATGTTTCATGGTCTATAGGACTTATTTAAGTTCTGAGTCCACTGCATCCTCTAGATTCTTCTATTTAACCCACTACCTTTCATTTTAACCTCCTCCTTTTTGCATTCCTGTTTTTTTTTTTTTGCCAAGACCTTGTGTGTCCAGCATCTGTATCTGAAGTTATTCCCAAAAGCTGCTGTGCTTCCCTCTGAATCTGACTCCTTTTTCCTTGGAGTTTGGGATTTTATGTAATTAAGTTCTGATGTTTCTTCACCTTGTACCATCACAGCTTAACTAACTTCCCTCAGTTCTTCAGGCTTTATGAGAAATTTCTGCTGACTCTCCCATTCCTGACTGTTTTCTCCCTTTTCCTATTCATTATCAGTCATTTTTCCTTTTCCACTGTTTCTGAATGTGTTGCCCTCTAATAGGAGCACCTCAGTTCACTGTTTTTTAAATACATGGTGTTTCAAGTGTTTTTCAGTCTTGTATGTTGACCTTAGAGATATTCCTTTGCTTCCTACTGTGACATTTCCATCTTCTTTGTTTACATTTTAACTTTGTTTTGTGTGACCATTTTACACCTCCCGACTCCTGTGTCCTCATGCTCTAATAAATAGTGGCAAGTATGGAAGAGCTAAAAGTATCATTAGCTAATAACCCATGGTTATGACAAGATGAAGAAAGAAATACAAAAGGGATCTGAAAAGATCTTTTTGTTTCTTTATGATGTAAGAAAATGGCCTAAAAGGCTGTATGTTTCCCTCTAAGGAGCATCGTAGAATCAACTAGGTTGG